ATTTAGCAAATCCATCGAAGAAAACTCTGAGGGTTATTATTTATATTGACACTATCTTTATCGCCTAAATCTTCGTAAATCTGATCATCATTAGCGGTCATCTGATAAGACAGCAGTAGAAAAATAGTGAGACGCGATAAAGCGATTGAAGCTCGACAGACGGAGATCGCTGCCGCTATTTCGTGTCTAAGTCAAGCGATATCGAATCAACTCGCCGAAAAACATACAAATCATGAATTGTTAAAACGACTCATGGATTCGGCGCGCCTCATGTGTGACATCCAGTACAGTGAATCTATATCAAGAAGAAACTTCACTTTGTACTCTCTAAAAAGAGATATTAAGGAACAATTGACGAACGCCAAAATTGATACGTTATTGTTTGGCGAAGATCTACCCGAGACAATAAAAACGGCGAAGGCTGTCACAAAATCCAGCTCCGACCTCAAAATGGACGTTCCTAAGAAAACGAACACTCAAAAATATCCTTCGAAGACTTTAAACTGGAAGACGGGGTCCGGCAACCGCAAGGCGGCGGCGGCGGGCCCCAGTCGCCGCCANCTGCTCCTGTTGCACCAGCGACGCCACACATCGCCACTGCCGACGTCGTGCCGCCACCTGTGCTGGCTACGGAGCAAGCAGATCCGCCGTTAGATCCTGAGATTCTGGACATCTTGGGCGATGACCCGACCGCTGTGCAAAAGTTTGGTGCTAACATTAACAAAGACCTGGCCAACCGGTTTAATCATATAACCACTGCGGGTTTGGACAAGGAAGGTCGGAAATTACTGATCGAAAAATATCTTATCCCGGCGAATTGTTCAAAGATAGCCGCTCCTCGGCTCAACCCGGAGATAAAAGCGGCGGTCCCAGACAGCGTTGTGAGACGCGATAAAGCGATTGAAGCTCGACAGACGGAGATCGCTGCCGCTATTTCGTGTCTAAGTCAAGCGATATCGAATCAACTCGCCGAAAAACATACAAATCATGAATTGTTAAAACGACTCATGGATTCGGCGCGCCTCATGTGTGACATCCAGTACAGTGAATCTATATCAAGAAGAAACTTCACTTTGTACTCTCTGAAAAGAGATATTAAGGAACAATTGACGAACGCCAAAATTGATACGTTATTGTTCGGCGAAGATCTACCCGAGACTATAAAAACGGCGAAGGCCGTCACAAAATCCAGCTCCGACCTCAAAATGGACGTTCCTAAGAAAACGAACACTCAAAAATATCCTTCGAAGACTTTAAACTGGAAGACGGGGTCCGGCAACCGCAAGGCGGCGGCGGCGGGCCCCAGTCGCCGCCAGCCGCCGGCAGCAGCGAGCAGCCGGCCGCCCGCCAGCTCGTCGCGCAGCTCGTCGCAGCCGCAGCGGAGCCGGCCGCCGCGCCGCCACTAGCAGCGCCGCACGCCTCACAACAACCGGTACGCCTTGCTGGCAGACTTAGCCTTTTTTACGACCAATGGTCGCTCATCACCCGTGACCAAACGTTATTATCGTGGATAAAGGGTTACGTTATAAAATTTAATAGTCCTGTACACCAGTCTGCTTCTCCTGTCACAAAAATATACACGGAATCTGAAAGAGCCCATTATAATGATGCTATTAGTCAGTTATTGTCTATAGGCGCAATTTCTGAGTGTGAACCTGTCCCTGGACAGTTTGTGTCACGTGTATTTTTGATCCCAAAACCGACTGGCGATATGCGATTTATATTAAATCTAAAAGCCTTAAACAAGTTTATAGACACGCAACACTTTAAATTAGAGGATCTTCGTACTGCTCTTAAGCTTATAAGTAAAGATTGCTTCACTGCCACTATAGATTTGAAAGATGCGTATTTTTTGGTTAACATACACCCGGATTGTAGAAAATACCTGAGGTTTATTTTAATGTATAATGATGACCCAAATACCAGTAAAATGTTTGAATTCAACGTTCTTCCATTTGGACTGTGTACAGCTCCCTTTATTTTCACAAAAATAATGAAACCTGTCATTAAACTGTTACGCTCATGTGGCTTCTTATCATCTATTTATTTAGACGATCTATATTTAGTAGGTACATCCTACTATGAATGTCAAGAAAATATTGAAGTTACTCAGGCATTATTAAGAGCTCTCGGTTTTATTATTAATGAACAAAAAAGTAGCATGATTCCTTCTCAATGTTGCAAGTACCTCGGCTATATGATAGATACCCATGAGTGGCATGTACGGTTACCTTCAGTAAAACGAGACCGAATAAAAAAGGAACTTCAGTCTTTTCAACTTTTGAAACGTTGCACTATTAGGAAATTTGCGCAGCTGGTAGGACTTCTTGTATCGGCCTGTCCCGCTGTAGAGTACGGGTGGTTGTACGTAAAGGAATTAGAGAGGTGCAAGTACCTTAACCTGCTAGGTAACGATGACTATGACCGAATCATGACCATCCCAGATAATCTATTAGGGGACTTAGCTTGGTGGGTTAACGCCATTGATGATTCTGTACACAGAATCAGAAACGATGAATTTGTCCTGGAAATTTTTTCTGACGCTTCAACTACGGGATGGGGGGCTGTGTGTGAAGGGCAGACAGCTAACGGCCAGTGGTCTCCTGCCGAAATGACTTTGCATATAAATCATCTCGAACTCTTAGCAGCTTATTTTGCTATTAAAATTTTTGCAAAAGATTACCGTAACTGCTGTATACTTGTAAGAGTAGATAACACCACCGCAGTAAGCTACATAAACCGCATGGGCGGGGTTCAATTTCCTCACCTTAATAAGGTTACTAAGCAAATTTGGCAGTGGTGTGAGTCTCGTAGAATACTCGTCTCAGCATCTTATATTAAGTCATCTGAAAATATCATCGCGGACAAAGAATCGAGACGTTCTCATCCAGACGTGGAATGGGAATTGTCTGAGACCGGCTTTAGACACGTTACAAAGGTGTTTGGTTACCCACAAATCGACCTTTTTGCTAGCCGTATAAATAACAAATGTGCTAAGTATGCTTCATGGCACCGAGACCCTAACGCATTCGTGATAGATGCGTTTACGATAAACTGGTCGAATTTTTATTTCTACGCCTTTCCCCCTGTAGCAGTCATTTTAAAGGCGCTAAGAAAAATTATTTCAGAACAAGCAGAAGGCATCATGATTGTGCCAGCCTGGCCATCTCAGCCATGGTACCCTCTGTTTAGCCGCCTAGTCTCATCTACTGTGATTACATTCAGCCCAAGTGATGTCATGTTTCCCCATTCCAGCAACCGGAACCTCAACATTACCCTGGTGGGCGCAGTATTGTCCGGACGGCGTTATTGCGAAGAGACACACCCGCATCAGCCATCGACATAACGTTGGCCTCCTTGTCCGACAACACTATGAAACAATACGATGGTTGTTTCAAGAAATGGTTCACATACTGCACCAATAACAAAATTGACATGTTTCAACCGTCTATTCCTGTCATAATAGAGTTCCTTGCCGAGGTGTTTAATAGCGGTAGCCAGTACGGCACAGTAAACTGCTACAGATCCGCTATATCGTTGCTAGTAGGCCCGATAGCTCAGGATGAACGACTCACGCGATTCTTTAAGGGCGTGTTTAGGTTACGACCACCCCTACCTCGCTATAATATAACATGGGACACCAGCTTACTCCTAGACTATTTAGCAACGCTGTATCCCAATGAAACGTTGACTTTTGAGCAACTGTCAAAAAAGTGCAGTACCTTACTCGCTATTGTAACAGCTCATCGGGTACAGACCCTCTCTAAGATCAGTATCCTTAACATAAATGTTTCTGCTGATCAAATCGTAATAAAAATTCCCGAATTAATAAAAACTTCAAAATTAGGCCGTCCCCAACCAGTTTTATACTTACCATATTTCACCGATAGACCAGAAATATGTCCCGCTAACACCTTGAATTCTTATATGGAGAAATCTAAAGAATTTCGCAAGAGTGAGCAACTGTTTATTGGAGTTAGAAAACCCTATAATCGTGTAACATCCCAAACGATAAGTCGATGGATAAAATCAACGCTCAAAGATAGTAGAATTGACGTTTCAGTATTTTCTGCCCATAGCACCCGGCACGCCGCTACATCCAAGGCGTTCAAGCAGGGTGTCAGCTTAGACCTGATATTTAAAACCGCAGGCTGGAGCGGCAATTCCTCTACCTTTGCCCGTTTTTATAATAGACCCATCGCTAATAGCAATGATGACTTGTCTGTCCTGGCTAGAACTATATGTTCATCTGCAAATTAATGTCAAAGCTTGTGTAATTTCACAATTAATTTAGAATTTAATTTTGTTTAAATTATAATAAGAATACAAAAAGTGATTGATTATTCATTTCTTTTGTAATCCCAACTAATATTATAAATGCGAAAGTAAATTAATAAAACATTGATACACAATAGTTGAAATTTAATTGTTCAAACAATTGCTCTATGATATTTCCTGATCTCTCAACATCTACATTGTGTTATATAATCTATGTTATACTAATCTCGAGGACGAAGCACGAGTATAATTAATGATTAAACGAACTTACCTGTACGTGAAGTTCAATCATAATTATACGAAGTGCTTCGTCCGAAGAGATTAGTATGTATCACCCTCCCACCCATGATCTATTTCTTTGGTAGAAATAATCCCTAAAGACTACGGAAATATCATACACCTACTCATCTAGCTCTAAACTAAATGACGCCAGTGGAGTGAGCCCGCCATAGGAAATATCGGCGGTAGAGGAGAGAAAAACATTTTCAGGCTTACCCTCAAAATGTTTTATTTTTTATTTTTTTCTTTAAACAACAGTGCAAAAGTGGAGTGACTATGCGAAACTACATTGTGTTATATAATCTATGTTATACTAATCTCTTCGGACGAAGCACTTCGTATAATTATGATTGAACTTCACGTACAGGTAAGTTCGTTTAATCATTAATTAATGAGTTTAGTTGGTGTCATTTCTAAGTCTTGTTTTTCTGGCCAATAGGCGGGCGGCGCGGCGGTCGCGCGAGAGCCGATCAGAGCTACACACAATTCGCAGTCATGGACGATGAGAACGTGTCAGCTTTGCAACAGGTGAATATGTTATTATTATTATTTGTTTTTGGAGTAATAGCGGGTGTCGTAAGAGATGACTTAGGGACTACACATCAAACAGAACGGGCAGCAGCGCTCTCTGAAAAACATCAATCTTAAACTGCGATCTCCAACCCGCCTGCCAAGCGTGAGGATTATGACAAAACCCTCCACTATAGTGGAGGAGGCTCATAGTCCAGCAGTGGACTGTAAAGGGCTGTTGATGATGATGTTGGAGTAAACGTACAATGGGCCGCAATTCCACTTCACTTTTCGATAAAACGAGACGACATGACCGGAAATGGGTAGCTGGAACTGTGGCCCATAGTACTTACGATTGTCAGTTGGCGCCACTATCGAAAAATGCCCTGGTTCATCATCACTAGATAACACATAAATAATAATAATAATAAAGAAGAGAAGAACGTGTTGTTGACATTTCCCGACTTTGACGTACTGGTTGTCTGTCCGCCATGTTTGCTAGTGCTGTTCTGTTTAGCCGGTTTTTTCTGCCATTTCGCTGCTAATGCCGAGCTACGTTCCGTTTCACTTAGATCCACTTCCATATCAAGTAATTTCGACTTGATCGAGTCCGCGGTTATAAGCTCTCGCTAGATGGTTGGCTCAAGGGTCAGATTCAAAAGGCGGTGATCCTCAGCACGGCACGCATTGTCCGGAGGTTCCTCAGCCTGTGACCCTGACCACCGGTAGCTTGGGCCCTGCTCCGCTGCCAGCGGGTTAACTATTTTTAAGATTTTTGTTTTTATAATGTATTTTTATTTTTTGATAATTACATTGTAAAAAGAAAAAAATAAAAATAAGAAAGAAAAATGAATAAAGAAATAATAATAATAAATCTTTGGACAATTTTATATAATATAGCCGTGATAGCGGCGTCAATTAGTGAGTAATACAGCCCTATTCACCAAAGGCGCCAACTCGTATGTCATTTGTCCTTATTCGATGGCGGCGCCAACTGGCGAATGATATCACTCGCCTGACTTGTCAGTGGTGCCAACTCGTAATTCTTTTTCGATAACGGCGCCAACTGATGAGTGATAAGGCCCTACTGAATGGTTCTCACTTGTCTATACCACCAAACAAAGGGTGAAAGGATGTTACTTACCAGAGGCGCCAACTGGTCTTGTCGCCCGTGGTGCCACTGATATAACCACTAGCGTTTGAACTATATTCATTCGTATATTAAATTAAAACTAATATAAGAAAATTTAGTAAACCATTTTTCTTTGCAACAGGTGACAAAAGGAGGCGCGCTCACTCTGGTTTCTCTATGGAAGTCGCAGTTCGACGATTCGGAGGAAACCACAGACAATGAATGGAAGCAAGAACAATTACAGGTCGGTTCTAAAACATATTTTTAACCTTTTCACCGCCCATTTTGAGTTTTTTTTTTCTAGGACCTCTCTACCTTCCTGTAGAAGTCCTATACCTTATCACGTATCTATAATCGGGCCAAAAGCATTACACATCACCAGCCGGCCTAGAATACACACCACTTTATAATCGTCGTTTATGGACGACTAAAGCCCATAGCTTATCGTCTAAAATCGAGGCGTTACGAGTATATCATTTTGTCGTGTCGTGTACATGCATTCTAGGACAGCAGGGGAGTTTAAAGTAACATGTTTTATCACGTATCACCAGATAATTTTACAAATTCTTTGATTAAAAATGTCACCCTATAGAGTGAAAGCCACATTATCGAAAATAATTGACTTCTTCATCATTTCAGTCGCCAGAACACCGCTGCGGGCGCGGCCAAAGTGCTGTATCCAGTTGTTCTAACGCAGCGCGCACGCAATTAGGAAGGACTCACTCTACTACGCAGCATCAGACGCAGCTGACACAACCGGTGGCGAACCCTGCACCGCCCAGTGCACCACAGGTAATTTACATTCACTGGGGGCGCCAAAACTAGTTGCCAGTGGCGCTAACTACTCGGCAGTGGCGCCAAAACTACTTGCCAGTGGCGCTAACTACTCGTCAGCGGTGCCAAATATTCGCCAGTGGCGCTAAATATTTGCTAGTGGCGCTAACTACTCGCCAGTGGCGCCAAATACTAGCCAGTGGCGCCAACTGCTCGCCAGTGGAGCCAACTACTCGCCAGTGGCGCCAAATACTCGCCAGGGGTGCCACCAACTCTTCGCCAGGGGTGCCATCTACTCGCCAAAGACGCCAATTACTCGCTAGTGGTGGCATCTACTCGCCAGGGACGACAACTCGTTATGGCGCTAACTGCTCGTCTGAGCGCTAACATTTCGCCAGTAGCGCCACCTAGGTGTTCACAAGTGGCGCTAATATTACTAACTAGTCGTACCAACTACTGACCAGTGGCGCTAACTGATGATGAGTGACTTGGCTTTGGCCGCTTTGGCAAGGACTCATTCTACCACACAACATCAAACGCAGTTGACACAAACCAGTGGCGAATCCTGCACCGCCTAGCGCTCCACAGGTACTTTTGTTACTAGTTTCTAAGACCAGCTTCGTCTGTGATAGTTGGCGCCAACTGTTATAGGAACTTAGTTGCCATTGGCGCCAACTGAGCTTTTGATAGGTGGCGCAAACTTTAGTTTGATAGTGTATAGTCTTACTCACTAGTGGCGCCAAATACTGACCCGTGGCGCCAACTACAGACCAGTGGCGCCAACTGATGATGAGTGACTTGGCTTTAGTCAAAGCGCTGTATCCAGCTGTTCTAACGCTGCGCGCACGCAATTAGGAAGGACTCACTCTACTACGCAGCATCAGACGCAGTTGACACAACCGGTGGCGAACCCTGCACCGCCCAGCGCACCACAGGTAATTATTATGGACTTTCGCCTATGAAATATGGCGTCAACTACTCGCCAGTGGCGCCTAAGCTACTTGCTAGTGGATCCAACTACTTGCAACTGTCGCCCAACTACTTGTCAGTGACACTAACTACTCGTAATTAGCGCCACCTCCTAGCCTGACAGATTGACAGGTTGCGCCAGCTGAAATGTAGTACCTTAGGTACCCACTTGTGGCGCCATTTACTAACCTGTGGCGCCAACTACTTGCCATTGGCGCCAACTGAGGTTTGGCAGGATTTTATTCGCCAATAGTAGTAGTGATGGGATCTTTTTTGATAGTGGCGCTCGCCAACGGCGCCAACTGGAGAATATCAGGATTTCGAGGCGAGTAATAAGTATCAATATTACATTAACGATTAATACCCTAAGCGAGTCGTAATCGATTATAATTATATAATTAGTTATCAAGATAATACTTGTTAGGGTCCTAGCGAATATTAGTAGAAAATTAAATAGCGGACTGTATAAAAATAGGTGCTAGTAATTCTCGCCAGTCTAATTACAACAAATTATCTAGGATACGCGGTAATCGTGCGTCGATGGTGGTTTCCCAAGGCGAGTGTGATTTATTCATAACTGGTATTCTCAATATTTGCATGCTATGACTTATGGCTGAACAGGCACTGACACTTCGAAACATGAAAATGTAAAAGACCATTGTAACCCTGTTTTATGCAAATAAATAAATTTGAATTTGAGCGCAGCCGATGATGACGCTGTCGGCCCGAGGTGACGTTAGTCATCGTAAGCCGCCCGCACGTCTCCCACGCGTTGTTGGCTTCCCAACATTACTATTGCATTTCCAACTTTAACCTACTCCCCTTTACACATTTTTTGGGCTAAGTCATCAAAATGACAACTTCTCAAAATGCCAACCGGGACGCAAAATGTCCACAAATAATCGAAATATCCGAAATAGACAATATTATTATGAGAAGTTGTCTTTTAGCGAAGTTGACATTTTAAGACGTTGTAATTTCGAGAAGTGGACATTTTGCATCCCGGTTGTCATTTTGACGACTAAGCCATTTTTTGTTAAATTTAAATATCCATATTCCATAAACATTATATTCCAGGTGTCCCCCCTCCAAGCTACCACAGCGGAGCCGCCGCCCGCCCGGCCCAGCGAGCCCGCCCGCGCGGCCCGCTGCTTGAACATCCCTGGAATTGAAGCCTATCCCGCGCTTCAACCTGCCCTGCCTAGGGCCTGGACGCTGCCGGCTATTGGTGAGACAAATACGTCACTGATTTTCAGCAAATAGGCTTTTAAAAAGTGGTTTTATGTTTTAACCCTACCACAAAGTTATGAGCCAGTGCTTGCAGCGTAAGAAGAAACATTTATTGCCAAGGACATCACAAAAGACAAAAGAGGTAAATAAAAAGAAGCAAACAAGACTGAGGCACACAAAACATACAATGGAAGAAAGTAAACTGAGCAGTGTCACCCTGTCGCACAGCGATGCCCATCGCAATGGGACCCCACTCGGCATATGCCGTGGCCGACGGTGAGGAAGGTCACGACGCTGGTTTTCAGTGTGCCCCATGCCGAGAATATACTTTTATCTTTGTATTTATCATCATCATCATCATCGTCTGGGCTAGGATGCGTCATCATCAGATCATTTAGTATCCACTGCATTAGCACGACCCTCTCCAATTTACCAGAGGCAAATGGAGGACATTAGCAAGCTGAAATGGCAATGAGGCAAGCACATAGTAAGTAGAACTGACGATCGATAGGGCAGCAAGGTTCTGAAGTTACTTCAACGTAAGAACTTTTGAGACAGGCTAAATTACACCATGTTGTTAATGACATTGAGCATAATTTTTTTTAAATACCTTCGCGAAGTTAAACTTCTGTACGTAGTGCTTATTATTATTCTGTGCTACTGGTCTTAAGGTGATGCCTTGCGAATATTGGGCGTTTAATAGAAGCGCAGAATTAGTTTTAATCGTACTTTTCTTATTACTTATGTTCTTACTAGCTTTCCGCCCGCGGCTTCGCCCGCGTGGAATTTTGTCTGTCACAGAAAAACTTTATCGCGCGCGTCCCTGTTTCAAAAACCGGGATAAAAACTATCCTATGTTCTTTCCCGGGACTCAAACTATCTCTATGCCAAATTTCATCAAAATCGGTTGCGAAGTTTAAGCGGGAAAGCGTAACAGACAGACAGACAGACAAACAGAGTTACTTTCGCATTTATAATATTAGTTGGGACTAATAAATCTAGTGTCTGGTCGAAGCCGAAACATGAATGGAAACAATTTTCTCGATAGAAAAAAAATCCAAAGATGACCCTTCTATTACTCGGTTTTTCGTTTTATAAGCAGATAGAATATGTTATTACCTTACCAATATACAAAATTTGGTATTGAAATATTAGCCTAAGTACTGGTCGAGTTGTTTTCTTTAAATAGTGTTTGGTTTTTCAATAAATACATGATTTCCGATTTTTGTCGCTTACGTTATTTTATTCCGCGCCGCGCGCGCTATTGCTGTCCCTTTCCTCGCACTGAGAAATCATATTTCTATCCCTCTGTGTGCGAGGCGTTCAGTCGGCCGAAAACTTTTACGAGGTAGCGCCTTAACTTGTACACATTATTGCAGGTTCCCACGTGCGCTCTCTCCGCGCGCCGTTGCTACAACAAGCGTCGTTCGACGGGCCGTGGGCGGGCGGCGGCGTGCGCTACAAGCTGGACGTCATGCGGGGCGTGGCCTCGCGGCACCGCGCGCCCAGCCCGCCGCCCGCCCAGCACGCCAGGAGCGCGCCGGTCAGTGGAGTATAAGCTAGTAGTTAGTAATTTCAGCGGAGTACAGTATAGGCCGGTTGGTGTATTGGTGCGGACGGCGCTCGCCATGCAAGGAACCATGGTTCAAATCTCAGGGTCACAAAAATTTGTGGAATTTTAAAAATTGTCTAATTTAGGTTTCTAATGAAAAATTGCAACAAAAAATGCAAAAAGAAAAATATCTGAAAAATAGTAAATTCCTGAATATGAGAAGAAAAATACTGCAGTAAAAAAACAAATGAACGGCAAGCGCCATCTGTGTGAGGAGTGATACTAGATTCTTCCATCTAGTGTCTCTTTCATCCTAGTAATGAGGAAAAGAGACAAAGTATCTAGAATATGTCGCTTAGTGCCATCATATGCGCAAAGGCAAAGTGTGCTTAGTACTTAGGGGTAAGAGAAGTAGCATGAGATGTGCTGCTTCTAGAGATTTCCATCAGGGGAGCCCTAGGATCTCTGTAATGACGATAGGAGCTGTAAAACAGTGTTCTTAAAGACTTCCATCAGTGTTTCGACTTCCATCTAGTGTTTCTGCCATCCTTGCAACGAAGGAAAGAGACAAAAGCAGCAGCCTACCGTAGTCTCTCGCGCCGCTGCTCCAGCAAGCGTCGTTCGACGGGCCGTGGGCGGGCGGCGGCGTGCGCTACAAGCTGGACGTCATGCGGGGCGTGGCCTCGCGGCACCGCGCGCCCAGCCCGCCGCCCGCCCAGCACGCCAGGAGCGCGCCGGTCAGTGTACTAGTGGCTCTTTCAGCCTTGCTACGAGGGACAGAGACGAAAGCAGCCCTGAGTTCGCAAGGAGCGCGCCTACTGTATCTTAGATTCGACAGGTTGGAGTGAGAGCGAGTTGGCGCATTGGCGCGGACGGCGCTCTCCATGCAAGGAACCATGGTTCAAACCTCAGGGTCACAAAAATTTGTGTAATTTATAAAAATTGTTCAAACTAATACAAAAAGTAAAAATATGCTAAAAAAGCAAAAAAAAAAAAAAGATTTTCAGAAAAAAATAATTTAGGGTTTCATACATGCGCGAGCGCATGGAAAACAGTGTTCTAGGAACTTCCATCTAGTGTCTCTGTCATCCTTGCTAGGAAGAAAAGAGACAAAACACCTGTGGCTAATGTCCAGCCCCGAGCCCGAGCCCGCCCAGCACGCCAGGAGCGCGCCGGTCAGTGTACTAGCGTCTCTTTCAGCCTTGCTACGAGGGACAGAGACAAAAGTAGAGACCAAGCGAGGAGCGCGCCGGTCAGTGGAGTAAGCTTAGTGTAGCTTAGATTCGACAGGTTGGAGTGAGAGCGAGTTGGCGCAATGGCGCGGACGGCGCTCGACATGCGAGGAACCCCTGGATCAAATCTCGGGGTCGACAAAATTTGTGTAATTTGTAAAGTGGTTTAATATGGGTTTCTTACATGAAAATGTGCAAAAAAAAATGCAAAAAGAAAAAAATATTATGTGACAAGGGAGAAATGGTTCTTCTCCTGAATACGAGAAGAAAAATTACTACGATAAAAAAAATGCGCGGGCCGGGGGTGCATCTTCTGAGTGATTCTAGATTCTTCCATCTAGTGTCTCTCACATCCTAGTAATGAGGAAAAGAGACAAAGAAAGCATGACGCTGAGTAAACCATGCGCAAACCAGGTTATAGAGACTTCCATCAGGCGAGCCCTAGGGTCTCTGTAATGAAGATAGGAGCTGGAAAAGAGTCTTCTAGGAACTTCCGTCTAGTGTCTCTGTCATCCTTGCTAGGAAGAAAAGAGACAAAACACTTGTGACTTATGGTAGGTAGGCAGAGTAGTCTAGCATAGTCTCTTTGCGTGCGCTACAAGCTGGACGTCATGCGGGGCGTGGCCTCGCGGCACCGCGCGCCCAGCCCCCAGCCCGCCCAGCACGCCAGGAGCGCGCCGGTCAGTGTACTAGTGGCTCTTTCAGCCTTGCTACGAGGGACAGAGACAAAAGTAGCCACGAGCGCGCCGGTCAGTGTACTAGCGTGTCTTCCAGCCTTGCTACGAGGTCAGTGGAGTAGATAGACTAGTGTAATTTCAGCGGGGTGAAGTAAGGGACAGTTGGTGCAACGGCGCGGACGGCGCTCGACATGCGAGGAATCATGGTTCAAACCTCAGGGTCGACAAAATTTGTGTAATTTGTAAAAATTGTTTAGCAAGTTTCTTAGATAAAAATATGCATAAAATGTTTCTTAAAAAAATCTAGTGAAAAAAAAAAACAAAAAGTGATATTTGTGAAAACACGAGGAGCGCGCCGCACACAGGTGAAATTTCCTCAAAAGTTGGCCAAAATTACGTTAAGTGTGTTTATGCCTATATGTTGCTATAGTCTGTCTAAAATAATAGTTTAAAGGTGATTTAAAAAGAAAAACTAACAAATGTTTTCATTGATGTATTTAGTCTTACTAATAATTTGTTAAAAATTTGATAAATTTTAAAAAATACAATTACGATGCAGAAGTTATTTTTGGTTCTTTTAAAAGTTTTATTACATCTTAAGGATAGGGAATACTAATGGAATGCTATTCTGGGAACTGCCTGAAAACATATTATGAGTAGTTAACTATGTAAAAGAGCTGTTTCANCAGTTTTGCAATATTTTGTTTAGGTGACGCAGTTTGACGCAGCTAATTTTGGTGTCATATGAAAGCCATAGATATGTTCTTTCGAAATATGTAAAAGAAACGGGTTGATCGCGCTTGATCATGAACTTTTTCACCGTTTCAAAAAAATAAACTGTTAAAATATAGACTTCTATTCAAACCTATATATCTATAACATAGTAAGTAATGTAGACTGTTTAGTAATACAGAAATAATAAACTAACCTGGAAGTATAGAATCCATATGTTTTTTACCAAATATTAACTAAATAAAAGTTAAACGTTGTTGTTAAACAAGAGCTAAAATTATAATAAATTACTCAACAAGAAAAACTGTTTAAATCAAATGTTGTGGGTATCTGGATAAAAAGTGTTAAACTTTTTAAATATCATTTATAGATGGCTCCATATGTCTTGTTCCTATATTAGGTTACTAATTTAGAATCGGAGTAACTTTGCTTTTTTTAATTTTGGCCACAAATAACGTACATTTCACCTGTGTGCGCCGGTTAGTGTAGTTAAAAGAATAGATTCTAGACTTCCATCTAGTGTCTCTTTCATCCTTGCAACGAGTGATAGAGACAAAAGTAGCCACGAGCGCGCACTCCACGCGAGGAGCGCGCCGGTCAGTGGAGTAGATAGACTAGTGTAGTTTCAGCGGGGTGAAGTAAGGGACAGTTGGTGCAACGGCGCGGACGGCGCTCGCTATGCAAGGAACCATGGTTCAAATCTCAGGGCCAATGTGTGTAACACGCAAAAAACGTGTCAAAAATCGTTAATCATATAAAATAGGTTTCATGGGGAAAAAGTATACTGTAAATAAAAATTACGTGCGCGAGAGAAATTCTATGTATGTTTGGTTCTAGATTTTACCATGTTAGTGACTCTTTCTTTTATGTGATTGCCTCGTGCCAATCCGATGATCTGGGCGCATCATAATAATATTATGTAATAAACGAGAAACTTGAAATCTGTAATCTACAGGAACTTCCATCTAGTGTCTCTTCCATCCTTGCAACTAGAAAAAGAGACACAAGGGTTTTATCTTTCTTCCACCATGCAAATTGTATTAATGCTTCTAAAAAATCAAAATCAAAAATATTTATTCAGCTTAGACCACAAGTGGCACTTATGAACGTCAAAATAATTAGTAAATAATAAAAAAGAAAAGGTAGCCCTTATGGGGCACTTTAGAATAGAATAGAATAACGTTTATTTTGCTGCCACATGAATACACACATACATAAAACAAACGGTCAATATTACAGAACCAGTCAAAAGAATGACAGTTAAAATTAAAATTAATCAGGACTTAACATATCTCCTTATCTTTTGGGCCCTACCAGCGCTTCGAGACAATCATATCGCAAGTTCTGAGAAGAAACGCTGGAACCAACTCATCTCTCTACCCGCAGAATACTAATGTTAATTATACCCCTTTCTCTCACAGAGCCTGTCAAGTACCTCTGGTAACAGCCCGCCGCGCGCGGCCCCCAAGCCGGCCGAGACCGAAGGCCCGACGGTGTCGTCCCGGCTCGAGATACGCGTGCGTCCGCCCGACTCGGCCAGCCCGGGGCATGAGGGTGAGTTACATCACAATCCGTACTTCCATAACCCATTCATCATCATCATCATCATCATCATCATCTCAGCCATAGGACGTCCACTGCTGAACAAAGGCCTCACAAACGTTCACAATACATACCTTTACTATTTCATGTGTGTTAAGTGTATGCAGATAAATGATTTATCTATCTATCTACCTTCAAATATACTTCCATGCTTTCGTCCTTGCACGCTACCATCTATACTAAAGTTCGGTCGCCGAGCACGTAAAATTTCGTCCAATGACCCGTAGCTGGGTAGCTTGGGGTCATTGGACGAAATTCTATCTGCTCGGTGACCGGACTTAATACCTCGTTTGTCTCAGCCGAATGACGTACATTATTGGACAAAGGCCTCCCCCAAGTATTTCCACAACGACCGGTCCTGCGCTGCCCGCATCCAGGTACTTCCCGCGACCTTCACCAGATCGTCGGTCCACCTAGTGAGGAGTCGCCACTCGAGAACTTTTATGCACCAGCGGCCATCAGCTCTACGAGCTATGTGCCCCGCCCATTGCCACTTGATTTTGGCAATAGGGTATTTTCCATCACCAATCAATTGACATACTAAAAATGTCAAAACGAGACTCCCATAGATTATGTATGGCAATACTAGCCAGTGACGTCACTATTTTTTCAACTCGAAACTACTTTTTTCAATTACAATGCAAAAAAAATCTTTATTTACCGGTAATTTAATATTAATTAATTTTTTAAGACCAGAATGAAGTGCCTCTTTAAAAAAAGTTGTGATTTCGAATTATCGGGGAATGGTGTCAAATAGTCTATTATTGTATTTTAGACAGTAAGGCCCAGAACAGACGGTGAAACGCAACTGCAACGAAACTGCAACTTGCTGATGATTCTGATGAATTAAACTGAAACTGAAAGTTTCAAACTGGTCGCGTCATGTGTGGTCTCTCAACGGACGCTATAGCAGAAACTTAGATGCAACTCAAAGTAACTAGCAGTTGCAGTTTCGTTGCAGTTGCGTTTCACCGTCTGTTCTTAGCCTAAGCTAACTCGTTACCAATGACTACTAACCGTACCATCTCGCGGACAATGCGCGATGTAAGACTGTAGTGTTGTGACGCGTTGCAGTCAAGATACACTCCGTCGTGAGCGGTGAGCCGACGCGGCCCGACGACGCGTCTGTCTACTACGACGCGACGGAACATCAGCGGGACAAACGGTGAGTGACCAACAAATGGTTAAAAGTGGACAGTCCTCACCATTATTAACCCTTCATAACCATCTTACCTAAGTCTGTCGCCATAACAACAATGTTAACAGCATTGTTGTGTTCCGGCAGTTAGAGGTAAGATAGCCAGTTCCTCCGTGGTTGAGGATTCCGGGTGAAGCTCGCTTCCACCTTCGGCCTGATCGTCACTTACCATCAGGTGAGATACAGGCCAAGAGCTTCCTCGTTGTGGATAAAAAGAAAGGCAGAGGAAATATGGTTTCAGCAAAAAAAATCCTTAGTTATTTAAGGCTTAGAACTTAGATCATCACTCATATATGTGTTTATTATTTGACAACTCTAATGTCAAACCTAATGAACCGTCATAGACGTGTGACTGACATGGCTGAACTAGATCGGCTGACGTGACCTGTCATATCTTACCAAAATGGGATGGACACAAATCTCAATGTCTCTTTTGGTCTAACATTTGTCATCTAACGGCCGGTTCACACATGTCTCCGTTTTACTGTTCCGTTTTATCGTGTACGTTTTTTTTCGTCGATTGCGTATGTAGTTGTATGAGCTACTTCACACATGGACACAGTTCGTTCGTTCGTTTCAGCCAAATGACGTCCACTGCTGGACAAAGGCCTCCTCCAAAGTTTTCCACAATGCACGGTCCTGCGCTGCCCGCATCCAGGCTCTTCAGTACATGGACACAGTATTCTGTATTTATTTATTTATATGTATACAGTAATATCATAATAGTAACATCGACGAAAAAAAAACGTACTCCATAAAAATGAACAGTAAAACGGAGACATGTGTGAACCTGCCGTACGTCAGAATTCAAATTTGGCTTCAGAACAAAACAAGATTGTATGATTCGTTTTATTATAACAACTATTCTAATATACCATAGGTCGTCGACACGCAGCGGAGACAAGAGCCAAAGCCCAGCAGTGGAGAAGACTCGGTTAGACGCGATACCTGACAGGTACGAACCAGTCAAAACTAGAAACAATCATTTTTTCACAGAAATTTAAAAAAAATACTGTGTTTAAGTTGATACTGCTAGATATATGTCTTGGGCTCGATTCGACCAAACTTTTATCCGAGAATAACTCTTGGTATAACTGGCACATTGACAGTTTCAGTGTGGGAAATATGTCAAAATGACAAGTTTATTCTGAGATTAATATTTACTCTTGTTTGGTCAAACCCACCCTTATTCAAAGGAAGCTTTTGATGCCAATCCTTAGCTGTTGTGTGCCAAGTCTTTAAAATACATCCATTGTTAATTTATTTATTATTAATTTACTGTGGACTAACTAACAGTTATTTGTTATTAATTTGATATTTCTTTCAGTAACAGTCCGCCAGCGAATAAAAAGGAAACTACAAGCGGTTCCGGCGACGGATCTCAAAGCATGAAAGACGTGAGTGATTGCTGTTCAAAATCATTGTTTGTTTATTAACATAAAACTTGCAATATTATTGAGAAATGAACGCACTTTAAAAGTAAAAAAAAAATTACCTGTCAACGTGGCTGACAGTATACCTAAATAGTCGTGTTGACAACACCAATCGAATGACGTACTTTTTAAAACTGTCAAAACGAGACTCCCATAGATTTTTTATGGCAATACAAGCAAGTGACGTCGCCATTTTGTCAATTCAATTGATACCACTACTTTTTTCAATTCCATCGTTCCATGAAGTGTCGTTTTAAAAATGTTGTGATTTCGAATTATTGGGGAATGGTGTCAAATAGGATTATGTTAGTTTTCATTACTAACAGCTTTTCTTTTTCTATTCTCTGAGCGAATGCTAAATAATATTATTCCAACCTTAGTAAAAACAGTAAGTTGTTCAAGATAAGCGAAAAATGCAGCGTTCTTTTTGAGAGAGAAATAAATTCATTATATCTAACATTTTTAAAGCAATATTCGGGCCCCTTCATTCCACATTTTTTAGCCGGCCACATTTGAAATTAATTGAATTTGATTGGTGGCCCGTGGGGACCAAGCGCCCACAAACTGTTTTGTAAGATGTCTCAGCGCTTAGTTGAGTGAGACATGTTACGATACAAAGGCTGGCCTTTACTTTGGCCAACGCATCAGCCTTGCCATCCAGCGTGGCAATGTGGCCAGCCTTTTACGCATCTTCCCCCAAGGGAGCGACTTAAATGAAATCTATAATATATATTTTTTTATTTATAAAGCTTGTACATATTTTAATTTTTACCCTTTTTTATTTAGTTATAGTTTAGTTAAGTAGTTATTTATTAATACTTAGTTTTATATTTGTTACGTTCAATAAAGTTATATTTTAGTCAGTAATCAACCATAACTTATTACAATTTACTGCTGTAATTTTCTTACATACCAAAGTAAATGCTTACTTAGTGAACTAATACTCCTAGAATTAATTAGAGATATCCTAATGGGAAGTAGCGAGTTATTCCCAATACAAGTGTCTCTGACTACTTACCGGGAAGACTCGGTAATAACTCTGTATACAAGTATTTTTGGAAATAAATGTTTTTTTTTATTTTTTTATATTTGATTGATATGAACAATACGCAATCGCTGTCACAGCAAACGGTGACATAATTTATTTGTCCTTCTCCAGCGATGGTGGTGCGGCACGGCTTCCCGTATCCCGGTAGCGATGGGCGAGGCGCGTCTCGCCAAGTGTCTCTCGTGGAGCGGCGACGGGCCTCTGGCGCCGCCCGCCGCGCCTCCGCCGCCGCCGCTCGATAACAAGGATCTAACACCAGGTAACTCAATAGTTCGTTTACGGATCTCCTCATTTCTAAATAGGCTAGTTTCCTAAAAAAATTTTTTTAGTCCGTCATGTTTAATATCAAAAAATATTGGACACATATATTTTTATTTGTCAATCTAACAAATAATTGCATAGTTATGGTGCGTTGAAGTTCCGCACGACGTCACAACGTGCGGCACTTTTATGCAAGCATTGACGTCACGGGCCTCTTCTTATGAACTTTGGCGCGCTTTATCTCTTTAAATTTTCATTAGTTTGAAAAAGTGAAAAATACGTGTAGAGTATTTTTGGATAAGTTAACTGACGGACTAATTAAAACTCTTGCTTTTTGACCCAGGAAACATCCCTATTATAAATAAACAACTTGAAAAAATAGAACTTCCTAAGGCGGGAATCGAACCCACGACCTTTCGCTTGCCAGGCGACTGCTCTTCCATCTGAGTTACTTAGACACTGGATGAACCAGTCGTAATTTTCAAGTGTAATACGCTGTTGCAGAAGCGTTTATTTTATCAATGTTGTCTCATACTTCATCACTATGTTTCGCTCAATGAGCATACTTATTGACAGTTTCTTTATGGAAAATATGTCAAAATGCCAATTTTGTTATTGAGATAATTAAGATGTCCGACGATTGATAAATCAGCGCATTTGTGTATGTGTATTTATTATTATTTTCATTTTAGTTGGCTTAATAGAGCTGTCCTTAGCTTTTCACCACATATATGTTTGTTAATAAAACCATAATCTTTTAGCAATGAAGTCTTCTGGTAGGCAAATTGGGAACGGAATCGGTGTCTTTCGGAATATTTAGTGCTGTTCTGATATGTGTCATACTTAAATGCGCTTTCATATGCCTTTAAAGACTGGTCAATGACCTATCTAGATGATTGCTTTATACTGCACTATGATTAGCAGGATCATCTTCATATTGAAGCTTAACCGAGTTTTAGAAATCTAGTTCTGTTCTAACTTCTAAGTGTCTCTCGTTAAGTGGCATCGGGCCCTACGCGCTCCTTGCCGTGTGACCACGTGACTACAAGGACTTAACACCAGGTAGGCGTAACAGTTAACTTATGGAGATGTCGCTGGCTTTTCACCACATAAGTATGACTGTATATGCCTGGAAATAACTATTTTGGATGATATTTCGTAACTGAGTAGGAGTTATGTAGATACTTTTTGTTTTTCTAATACCTATAAACAAAATTAGACACTAAATCACTGAGTTATAGACCATTTTGTCTCATACCACTGCTGTACACTTATCTTGTAATTGTAACCTGTTTTGAGACAAATAAAATACTGAAGCTTAGTAATTTTATCTATTTTAATATCTAAATAAATACTTTCTATCTACCTCTCTAAATCTTGTAAGCCTTTATCAGGTTAATATTGACACTCCTATATGTAACTAGAATATCATAGCATGGTGAAGCAATAGAATCATATTTTTCTAACTCTTATCAAAGTACAAACATTGTGGCTTTAGCTTTAAAGTAAAGCTCGGTTTCCACCGAAGCGGAGCGGTGTGGAGACAAGATATGTGCAAGATATAGCTGTCTGTCTATTGCTATCTATGAAACACCGCATCGTTTCGCACATCTTCGCTCTTTCCAAATGGAATTTGAATGGTTATTAAAAAAACTTCTTTGCTCCGCTCCGCCTTGGTGGAAACCGGGCGTGACGCGAAGTGACCGTAGTATTAGACTTAGCTTGCATACAACCGCGCACGCTGCGGGCGCAAACCGCGTCGTGAGTTGTTAAGTTTTTACATAAGCATCTGCATTCTACAGAAGCTGCGGGCCCGCAACCGTCGCGGACGCGGGTGTAAATGCCATGAGTTCTTTCTTAGCCTAACAGGATATACCGCTAACCAGCCCGTTTGTCCGCAGGGCTGAGACGGCGGCGAGCGAACCCCAACGACAAATACGCGGTGGACCCGGCGCGGGAACTCAACTTGCGCTTCGCACGTCTCCGCCATCGCTGCCCGCAGCATTCGCGCTCGCCGCCCACCAGGTTTGTTCGTTCGTTCCTTTCAGCCGAATGACGTCCACTGCTGGACAAAGGCCTCCTCCAAGGTTTTCCACAATGAACGGTCCTGCGCTGCCCGCATCCAGGCTCTTCCCGCGACCTTCACCAGATCGTCGGTCCACCTAGTAGGAGGCCTGCCCACGCTACGTCTTCCAGCCGGTGGTCGCCACTCGAGAACTTTCCTACTCCAACGGCCATCGTCTCTACGAGCTATGTGCCCCGCCCACTGCCACTTGATTTTAGCAATTCTGCGAGCTATGTCGGTCATATTCATATTCATTTATTCACTTCGCAATGTCACTTTGGTTCTCCTGCGGTTATCCTCATTTCTGATTCGATCGCTTGTCTTATGGTTTAAAAACAATGAAAGCCGCTGCTCACTAAAAGCCGACGGTGTCCACGGTGTCCACTGTGACGCCGCGACAGAGCGACAAAATATAGATGTTCTATGCAAATGTATGGAATTCTAGGGAACGTAATTCGAACGCAGCGACACTGTCGCGGCGTTAGTGACGCGGCGTTGGTGGCACTAGAGACTAAGCCTGAGCTAAAGACGCTGCGTTTGTGACGCTTAGTTCGAAACCTTAGTACCTTTAAGACCAAAGCTAAAGACGCTGCGTCTGTGACGCTTAGTTCGAAAGGCTACCTTAAGTCATCATCTGCAGACGAATGTCCGAGCTAGGATTTGGGTCCCAGTGGACACCGCCGGCTTTTAGTGAGCAGCGGCTTTTATTCTTTTTGAACCTTAAGCGAATAAGGTTGATTGATGGATGATTCTTACTGACCAATTTGTTCGCATCCAGAAGCGAGTCCCGCGGCGTGCCGTCGCTCCTCATGTCGTCGCCGCCCGCGTCGGGCTCGTCGTCGTCGGGCTCGCCGCCGCCCGCGCCGCGCGCGCCCGCCGCGCCGCATCACAACGCAGCGCGCGCGCGACGCTTCCGACCGCTCTCCATCGCGCCATAGGTAGGTCGGAAATTCAGCGAGTATGTTAGGAGGACGGTTGGTGTAGCGGTCGCGGTGCGCGCTCACCACGCAAGAAGACCCGGACTTCAAATCTCGGGATGTCCATACAAAAAATGCAAAAAGAGGTTTGTGAATTTGTTTCTTTCTTAGAAATTGTGTTTAGAGAAGATTCTTGATAAAAAAAATGTGTGGAAGAAAAATTGTGAAAAAATATTCTGTAGCGAATCACAGGGTGTGTGTGTCATATTGGATTTAGGAAAAATAGTAGGGCGACTCCAACGGATTATAGACACTAATGTACTCAGAAATAAAGCTGCAAATCGCCTGGTTTCCTGTACTAATCTCTTGTAGCTTAGGCTACTCCCATCCTAATATCAGCTGTCTTGGTAGAAGATTACACTATAGAAGGTTCTGAAGCATTAGGGGAGTGACGCAAACAACTATAGCACTAAAGTAACTAAGCAAACAAGCACCGGTGTCAGTATAGAAGCTTCTAGAGTAGGTTACAGCATAAAAGGTGATTCAAGCTACTATAGCCCTAAATCACAAGTAGTAAGACTTAGTATGCCATGCCCTGCGCGCCGTCCGCGCCGCACCACAACGCAGCGCGCGCGCGACGCTTCCGACCGCTCTCCATCGCGCCATAGGTAGGTTACATTCGTCAGTAGGGAGTAAGGAAGCGCTGGTGTAATGGTCAAAGGAGGCGCTCGCCATGCGACAAGACACGGACTTCAAATCTCGCGGCCGCCGGAGAAAAATGCAAAAAGAGGTTTGTGAAAATTTGTTTCTTTCTTGGAAATTGTGTATAATAGAAAATTCTTTCTAGAAAATTCTGGAAAACTGGAAAATTCTAGAAAAACCCAAAAAGCTTTAGAGCAAATTAATCATAGTGTACACAGGACTTAGGGAAACAGTGTGGGCGGATCCAACCGATTTATAGTCCTAAAGAACTGAAAAATAAAGTTGAAAATTGCGTGCATTCCTCTACTCTAAGGCACCATAAATGAATGTAGAAGATTTTCTGTGACACAGAAGGAGGCGTTGTAGAAGAAGAGAGGGCCAGACTTCTAGGGCATTAGGAGAGCGACGGAAGCGACTATAGCTCTAAAGTAGGGCAACAAAGGATCCGGTGGTCAATATAGAAGGTTCCAGAGTAGGTTTACAGCATTGGGACAAGTGATTTAAGCGATGATAGCCCTAAAGCACTAAGCAATAAGACCAAGACTCAGTCCGCATCACAACGCCGCGCGCGCGCGCCGCTTCCGCCCGCTCTCCATCGCGCCATAGGTAGGTCGGAGTTTCGTAGGGAGGTGTAGGAAGACGGTTGGCGCAATGGTTGTGAACGCGCTCACCATGCGACAAGACACGGACTTCAAATCACGGAGAAAAATACAAAAAGAGGTTTGTGAATTTGTTTCTTTCTTAGAAATGGTGTTTAGAATAGAAAATTCTTTCTAAGTAAATTAAAAAAATCTAAAAAATAGAAAATTCTACAAAAAAATAAAGTGTCTAAATACAGGATCTAGGGAAACAGTTGGGGGTGTATTCTCAACGGATTATAATACTAAAGTGCTGAGAAACAAAGTTGCAAATCGTGTGGTATCCTCTACTCTAGCGCCAAAAATGAATGTAAGAAGAGTTTAATAACATAGAAGGAGAGCGTAGTATGTCCTTGGTAGAAGAAGAAAGAGACTTGAGACAATGGAAACTCAATCGACAGCTCTAAGCAGGAAGGACTGGTGTCAGTATACAAGTTTCTAGGGCATTAGGAGAGTGAACTTAAGCGACTATAGCACTAAAGTACTAAGCAAACAAGCACCGGTGGCAGTATAGAAAGTTCTATAGTAGATTACAGCATTGGGAAAGGTGACTCAAGCGACTATAGCCCTAAAACACTAAGCAGCAAGACTCAGTCCGCATCACAACGCAGCGCGCGCGCGACACTTCCGCCCGCTCTCCATCGCGCCATAGGTAGGTTAGATTCGCAGGGAGGTGTAGGAAGACGGTTGGCGCAATGGTTGAGGAACGCGCTCGCCATGCGAGAAGACCCGGACTTCAAATCACGGAGAAAAATATAAAAAGAGGTTTGTGAATTTGTTTCTTTCTTAGAAATTGTAAAGAAGAAAATTCTTAGAAAAAATTGTAAAAAATAAAAATTGTGTTAAAAATATTCTGTAGCGAATTACAGTGTGTCATATTGGATTTAGGAAAAATAGTAGGGCGACTCCAACGGATTATAGGTACTAAAATACTGAGAAATAAAGTTGAAAATGACGTGGTATCCTCTACTCTAGTGTCATAAGAGGAAGCTTGTAGTATGTCCTTGGTAAAAGAACAAGTGACTTCAAAAGCAAGGACTGGGTAAGATGTGAACTCAAGCGACTATAATAGCACTAAAGTACTAGGCAACAAAGGAACAAAGGGGTTGTAGTATAGAATGTTCTAGAGTAGATTACAGCATTGGGAATGGTGACTCAAGCGACTATAGACCTTGAGGTCTAAGCAGCAAGACTTAGTCCGCACCACAACGCAGCGCGCGCGCGACGCTTCCGCCCGCTCTCCATCGCGCCATAGGTAGGTTCTAGTGTACGCTAGATTCGTCAAAGGCATGTAGGGCAGCGGTGGCGTAATGGTCAAAGGAGGCGCTCGCCATGCGAGAAGATCCGGACTTCAAATCACAGAGGAAAATGCAAAAAGAGGTTTGTGAATTTGTTTCTTTCTTAGAAATTGTGTTTAGAGAAGATTCTTGATAGAAAATTCCAGAAAATAAAAATTAAAATTCTAGAAAAAAGCTTTAGAGCAAATCATAGTGTCTAAATACGGGTTTTAGGGAACAGTGGGGGCGGGGGATACAACCCAATATAAGTACTAAAGTACTGAGGAATATAGCTGAAAATTGCGTGGGTCCCTCTACTCTAGCACAGAAGGGGACGTTGTAATTTGTGCTTGGTAGAAGAAGAAGAAAGAGACTTGAGACAATGGTGACTCAACCGACTATAGCTCTAAGCAGGAAGGGGACTGGTGTCAGTATACAAGTTTCTAGGGCATTTAGACTATAGCACTAAAGTACTAGGCAACAAGGACCGGTGGTCAGTATAGAAGGCGCTAGATTAGGTTACTGCATTGGGAAGGTGACTCAAGCGATTATAGCCCTTTAGCTCTAAGCAGCAAGTCTCAGTATGCCCTCTACCCGGGCTCGCCGCCGCCCGCTCTCCATCGCGCCATAGGTAGGTTCTAGTGTACGCTACATTCGTCAGTGGCATGTAGGGCAGTGTTGGCGTAACTGTTCTGGCTGCCCTCAACATGCAAGAAGACCTGGACTCCTTCTGGCCTGGATCTTAAAACTGATCCATTTGTGAATTTATACTGATGACCCTTCGCCCCACTCCATCGCGCCGATAGGTAAGGATTAAAGATTGCAAACTGGGCCCGGCCACTCTTACCGTTAGTTCACTTTAAAGAGCACGTGAAGCACTTTCAGAATCGGTAACCAGTTTTTCGATATCTTGTATAGTTTACAAATAATCGAGTAAGATCACTTATCGTTTTCACCCCTGTATACAGCCTGTATACAGGGGTGGAAACGATAAGTGATCTTACTCCTATCTCCTGTATAATACAGGATGCTTAATACTGCTAGATCGAAGATAGAAACCTATTGATTACCCCATTGGCGCCACTTTTTCAACTACCAGTTGGCGCCACTAGCAATTAACAGAACTTTACTTGACAGTAGCGCCAACTTGTGATCGCAAATACGAATTACAATGCATTGATATTATTAGAGGTGAAAAAACTTTATAAAATGTTTTTTTTTTCTTTCCAGGACCTGACAATTCACGGTGACAGGACGTCAAAGGAACCCTTCTGACAGATAGCCACGTATATAATTATATATCAAGCCTTATATGCGAATATGTATAATCTATATAAAATATGACACGATAAATTTTATATATTACGTACATATACAAGAGTCGAAAACTTGTCAAACATATCTAAAAAGGTGTTTTAAGTGGATGGTAAATGTTGTGTATAAGCAATAATTGACGCGCAACATGTTATTCAACGTTGCTCAACATCGCACGTTGACAGATAATATACACAAGATGTTTCTCGTATGTATACAAAATATTGCGTGGCAATTTATGCCAGATACACAGCTTAAATTGTAGACAAAGAGCCAATATGCATATTAATTGGGATACTTGGTACAAAATATTTATAAGAAATAGTCAATTGTATGTTATTGAATTTTTGAAAAGGCCCTTGATAGGTCCATATCGGTCCAGGCGGCTTCGAGTAATCGGGCGTATTACTTCTCCTTTTTTTGAAGTCTGTAAAAAGGTATTGCAATCTGAAAAACATCACAATCCTACCACTAGGAGAGCTAGTGTCGACAAAGTATTGATAATTCAATTTATTGAATTTAAAAAGACCAATGAGGCTAACCCAATTTAGTATTAGTATTTTTATTTACCTTGAAATATTTATAAAATGTTTGCATATTAGCTCTTAGTCTCAAAATACAGCTAGGCATTGAAAATAAAGAAAGACGAAATGTATATACAAAATTATTTAATATTTAAAGTATACATAGCTTTGAGGCACGCTTGTTCATAAAATTAAGGTATACAAGTACATGTAATTCATATTTTATATAGATTATTATATGTATAAGTCTATGTAAACCAGAAATATACATTTTATTTTTAAAATTCTGTTGAAAGTTTTAAAAAATCTTAAAATTTCAATTCGATTTCTGGTTTACGAAGATATTGGCAAATTGTGATTTTGACTTTAAAAGTAATTAGGCTATTTTATACCTTATTTTGTTGTTAATAAGGATGCTAATAGCGTGTTACGATGAGACGATGTGCTATATTAGAATCAGTTACAACTAGGAGTGTGGGAATGTCACAAATTGATTTGAACCTAATATCGAAGGCATAAGCTCCAAATTACACTGGGAAATTTTGTGGGAATATTTGCTGAGTGCA